GGAGCATTTCGACTAATGCCTCAATCTGTGCTGCATCTCCGCTAATAGTCTGGCTATCTTTACTATTCATACAAGCAACAGTGAGCTTGTCAACGCCCTGAAATCTTGTGTTGTTCACTTTATCAATGGCATCTTGAGTTCTTTCGATATCAAGACCCACGGCAGCCATCGTTGTTTTTGGCCCCGTATTAGAGTGAGCTAACTTGGCAGACATTTTTCCTATAGCACAAAGAGATTCAAGTCAGCTTTATAAGACATACAAACGAGAGCAGAAACTCTACCTACCACGCCAATACGCTATCTTAAGGGCTGATTCTCTAGAGATTGCCCCCACGGCGTAGCCTGCCGCAATCTCACCAGAAGAATGACCTGTGACAGCTTGCGGTGATACCCCCCAGAAGGTAAGGAGGTCGACAAGAGCAACTTGTAGGGCTGTGCATAGGGGCTGCGAGAATTCGGCTTCGTGTATTCGAGATTTATCTGAAGTCTTTGAAAGCTCATCTGTCCTCCAACATGTCAGTTGCCCGTGTCGTGATAGTCGTAGCGACGACGCAAGCAAAAGGAACCGAGGACTCACCGATCACAGACCAAGAGCTGCCTAATTCTTTCAAGTACGCATCAGCGTATTTGATACTCTCTTGGAATACTGGATAATGAACCAATTCCATTCCCATCCGAGCCCACTGCGCTCCTTGACCGGTGAAAACCAGTGCAAGTCCAGGGTCTGTGGCAACGCGCCTAACTTCCGGCTTCTCTGATAATGCATCTTGTAATGATTCTATTGAATCGGCGACAATGGCCGTGCGCCAGTTGAACTGAGTTCTTTTAGCCGCCAGGGTGAACGCTAGATCGTAGAACGAGTCTCTAATAGAATGTTGCTTATAGACGTTACTGAGCCGGGAGATGCCATCTTGATCGTGTGAACTTAAAACGATTAATTGAGGGGAAGCGGTAACATCACTACTAGTCGTTGAAGGTTTCGGAATATCTGTTAGATATTTAATCAAGTCAGAATACACAAGCAAGAGTATTGGGCCCAGACGAATGAACCTAAGACTCACAGGGGGTATATGGCAACCGAGGCACCTCAACGGTCCGATGAGGCGCATCGTACCCATGCTCCTTAAGAAAATGGTAGGCATCATCAATCACCACATGCGCGTTAGTCCCCGAGACACCAAATGAATTAATTGAGACTCGACGAAGGCCCGTGTCGGTTTGTGGCCAGGGGAATGCTGTAGTAGGAAATTTGAAGTGCCACTCGTCCGGAATTCTACTGTTGCGGTTCTCGAACCAGGCATTCGCGGGGATGATGCCATTTTCGACCGTAAGAATGCTCTTAATGACAGAGGTGATCCCGGATGCTCCCTCCGAGTGTCCGACATTACTTTTCACAGCTCCAATATAAAGGGGCGCCTCTGCTGATCGGTATGGAGTGAACATTTCACTAATTGCGCTTGCTTCGATAGGGTCTCCTACTGGCGTTCCAGTTCCATGGGCCTCGAAGAAACGCGTAACCGATGGGTCAAGGCCGGCCTGGGCGTAAGTTTTCCGCATCAGCTCCGCCTGTGACTCTTTCGCAGGTGCCGTAAGTCCGGGAGAATGTCCGTCATGGTTACAACCTGAATTTCTGATAACCTTTGAGACACTCGACATTTAGCAATTGTAATCCTAAATCTATTGTTTAAATATTTTGGAAGCATTGGCACTTCTTAGAAAAGGGGCCGCTATGCTTTTGATGATAATAGGAATATAAGGTAAGAATTACTCACAGCACGAATAGCTGTTCAGTCATTAAAGAGAGAAGTCAGTATTTCCATATTCGATTCGCATAGTCAAGAATCAAATGCAACTCACTGTCTCCATCACGAAGGGCGTCCGACATCCGCTTAAGAACAATGGCACCGACACCTTCACTCCTTCCGTAGCCACTTGCACGCTCGTCGAAGCTGTACGAAACACCATCTCGGTTGAGAACGCCAAGTGCATTGAGCTCGAGACCCATTTCGGGAGAGAGTATCAAGTTCGTACCACAAGCGACGGCCTAAATGTATCGTTACTTAGTACGTCTTATTCGGTTACAACGTAGCAAGTTAGGCCATACCATATCGCAGTCTCCTGCCTTTAAACCAACTATAGCTTGGTGAAGGGCCACCATACTACTCGAACAAGCCGTGTCAATGCTCAAAGCCGGTCCTTGCAAATCGTAGAACCAGGAAACGCGACCGGCCAGGGTACTCGCGATAGTGCCAGATCCAGTATAAATCATGGGAACATCGACATCCTTGATCAAGACATCTCGATAATCCCATATGAAAGCCCCTGAATACTGAATAGGAGTGTCAGCATTTCCATCTTCTATGTCAATCTCTAGGGGTTTGCCCAGCATTTAGTCAAAATCCAGGCTTTTATCCACAAGATTGGCTGCAAATGAATGTGGACGACTTTGTATTACTCACAACCCCCGTTTGTGAGCCCTTCACGGCGTCCATCGTGAGGCCGGCGTTCTCAAAGGCCGTATAAACGCACTCAAGGAGCATACGCTGCTGAGGATCCAGGCTTGCGGCCTCTGCCGGCGTGACAGAGAAGAAAGGAGCATCGAATTCTCTGACATTGCCCTGGATAAAATGTCCTTCCTTTCCTCCAATCTGTAGTTCCTTAGTTGGTCATAATGTTAAGATTGCTGAGAGGGAATATCATACAATTCCATCCCTGTGGTTGTCTGGGTGCCAGAAAGCAGCCGAATTGTATCGAGCCGGTGGTACAGGACCTCTAGCCGACCTCCCAGCAAGAAGAAATTCGTAGAATTTCTCTGGAGTGTCGCCATCACACGGGTACTTAGCATCCAAACCAATAACAGCAATGGGTTCAACGGACATCTTGTTCGAACCTCTGGATTCTATTTTGGCAAGGCAGGATCCTGAGACTGGGCTACTTGTTTTCCGTACGTCATAGATTCATAAATCTTAGAACGATGATAGATGGTAGCAGGGCTGTCTAAAGAGCAGAAGTACCAAGCTTGCAAAATAAGGTTTTCTTTATATTTGGACAGAGCCCCAATGTTCTATCTATAGAAGCGCATGCTTGTAAATCTAGCTATTGCCAACAAGATATATTCACCAACAAGCCAGGGTCTAGCCTATAAAGGCTTCGTTCCGGCCGAGATCGCCTGTGTTTACCCTGTGTAGATACGCGTTACGGCGTAAGAGAGGAGTAAAGGATCGATAGTGTAACCGTATAGACGTATGCACTAAGTATACGCAGAGCTACTCGTTCTTAGCACCTGCTTCTCTCGACTAAAAGCTTCTTTCAACGCGGATAGCGTGACCACAAAGCTATGATAGTACGAGAAGCCCTAGGAATCACACGTTAGGATCGATTCCTCCTTGCGTAAGCTGCAGGTCAATTCTCACTCCATATCGGTAATGCGATCCGGTCCTTCACCGCCGCCGAATCTGTGGGTTTCGGTTAATCCTGGACCGTGGATCTCTTCTAGTATACGTATACGTATAGCTATGTAGGTCTCCGCTATGCCCAAGCACTGCCTAAGAACAACATATGAGTAAGCAGTATAAGTGACTCGCCACTTCAGGTTTATAGAACGTCATGATCCTCCTCCTGAAGCTATAAAGCACTACATCAGGAAGCGAGCTCCTCGTCTATCTCTCCCACTTTAAGCAGTTTCTGGGTATCTCTTAGCATCTTATTCGACGACTAATAGTGGTACGAGATGAGGTTTTTGGTAGTGTAGTAGATGAGTTATGGTATAGTGTACAACTGTCTGCTCCGGGGTAACGCATGTCTACAGTAGTTCCATACGAGTGCGTGTGGGCATGCGCTGTTGTGCATGGTAGTGAATGCAAGTAATAAGTGGGTTAGGTACTCGCGGATCAGTAATACCAGTGCATAATAAACGGTCGGTCAAGTCGTTAAGTGGCTAGGCGCTGAGGCGATTGAGGTCCTATACCTCAAGTGTGCAACATAAATTAGTATGCTTTAAGATGGACACCTACCTTTCCTTCAACGTATTACAACACGACTTTCTATAACAAAAGGAAGGTGTTTTTGCATATCGCTAGCTGAGGTCACCATCGGAGACTTGTGTGATTCTCGCTCAACAAGCGATCCTGATAAGAGGGGTATTGGCATAATGGTATCAGGGGTGTATACTATAGGCATAGCCAACGGTCATTCGTTAGCTTACCAGCACCCGGACCACCCGCATTCGTCTTGGACCTATTCAGGGTTTAGTTAACGGTTAGGCAATTTTCCGAACCCCCCGAACTCCGGCAAAGGCATGAAGGATAGAAAAGCTAGGTAGCTATTATATTTTGAAATAAGTGAACCATATGCCTCCGCATTGTCCTGTTTGACAGCTCACCGCTAGAGGTACCCACACGTATTGTATAATAATTTACAGGGGGGATGTGCTGTATATATAAGCGCCAAGCTACATGCATAAAGTTGCCGTTGCCATAATGGTCTGATTCAATGAGAGAAAACATAGCCCAAATCAGTAAAAGAGGACATGCATATAGATCAAAGGGGACAGACGGACTGCCGATGAGTAGCCAAGGTAGGTAAGTGGCGGACGTACTGATAAATACAAAATAGCTTCAATCGGAGTGACACTTGCTGTGTACATGGAGGGAGAGAGGGATGAATATAAGGTAGAACTATACACCACCACCACCACAACATAGTGTTATAGATAACTCAATCAAACGCATTGTCCGTTAATTAATCTAAATAAACACAAATGGGACTAACAATTAAAACTAAAAGAAGAGACTATGTCATTACTGTAGAGGAAGTTGGCTGAGGTACATATAACAACCCGTTTTGGCCACATTTATCTCCACCCACTTTGCTATTACCCCCATTTAAAAGTGTTACTTACCACAAACAAATATATATAGAAAAGGGCAACAAGGAAAGATATAAAACAGAAAAGAATAAAAAACACACTATTGATTAACATTGAAATAAATAAAAAAAGACTCCGAATCGGGGAATCGAACCCCGGGCTTGACGGCACCTTTTAACATTACACAATGTGATTGTGATATTTTTGAGAGCGTCAAATGTTAGCCACTACACCAATTCGGATTGTGAATAAAGACGATGCCCACTAGCGGAATCGAACCGCTGATCTTGTCATGGCATCTAGTTTGCTGGTCTTTTTGTGAAGAGCCATTACTAGTGACACGCTATACCACTTAGCCAAGCGGGCAATGTTGATTGGTTGAGAAACTTGACGTCAAAATAGATTCATATAATGAAGCAACAAATGGCTATGTTCCGGGGCCGCCTAAGATACGAAGAGTAAGAAATAATCATATGGATAGTCCGCAACCAAATCCCTAGTTCTTAAAACGATACGATTTATCATTTACTTGTTTATATTCAAGCTCCTTGCAATTTTGAATTACTGGGGGACATCCTCGATCGAGAAGGCATAGTTTTTGGTCTAGGCACTTGGTCTAAGACTAGGGGATTTGGTTCTGCGTCAATGAGAGAGAGTACACCTTGGTGCATATAGCATCATCGGGTAGTGTACATTACCTACCTCATGTTTTTGTCTTGAACCTAGGACGATGTACTCATGGTGTTTGGAAGCTCACTAATTATCATGCATTGAATTTGGTGAAGATAGCGCGAATTCTTCCTTCTGTTGTCAGGTTAGACTTGTGCGGTCCTGGGCCGGTTAGAAGTTAGCTGACAACACAGCCTCAGCGGTTTAATAACTTCACCCAGAAATGCAGACTTCTTATCATGATCCATGTTTAGGGAGCTTGCCGGATTAGTAGGAAGAGCTTGTAGACAGCAACCCCTAGGGCGAGAGGTGAAGACGTGCTCTCTAGCCCCGACGGTGATGTGCGCCGCCGACACCGACGTAGGGTAGTTGAATTATAGGGTTGCGTAAAACATGCTGTCATATACCTACTATAACTAGTATTATCACTAACTATTACACTTCCTAGAACAAAAAAGGTTCCTTGTGTATAGTAGAGATCAGTAAACTAGTTAGCGTTAGGCTTTTTTGTACAACTCTACCTAGGTTCTGACGCGTGCAAGTTTGACGTATGCGCGTTATATAAATGATGAAGAGTTAATATAGAAGCCTCTAGAACTAGAGAGCTTCGGCCCTGAAAATTAAGTCCCGATGGCTGCCAAATGCGACAGCTTGCTGTTTTATGATATGCCGACCACCTGGCTATCCAAGTCGATGTGTGATGATTGGTAGTACGAAATGAACCGCCCAGTAGCCTACCACTATAAGCGAGCCTAGAGGCTACCGGTGCAATACCCTAAGCGATCGTGAGAGCTTTATGGTACCTAAAATCTCCCCATTCTATTGTGAAAACAACCGCATCTATTAGCCCTGCGCCAAGGAGGTAATGTGTAAAGGTACGCAATGCGTTATATTTTGTCACGTTGGTGATATAGGCATTAATTTAAAGGGCCTTGTAGAACTGCGTTGGAGGGGGATTTAAGTACCGGGAAGCTGGAGTTTAGGGTCTTAGCCGGTTTATTGGTTCCACGAGCAGGCTGCCGCCTACAGTGACTACATGGAGCTACATCGGTTGGTAGCTAATACGAGGCATACGCAAGCATCGGTCTATTTCTATCTGAGCAAATCGAAACTTTAGACTCGCTAAGACATGAATAGCTACGCCGTAACGTTATCAACTGGCAATAACGTCCACATGAGGCTCTGTGGCTACTAATAAGCACTCATCTACCCTCAGAACCTTCAGGCTTCAAGGCTCAGTTGCAGTTGTGTAGCCTGAACCTGTTTGGGGATTGTAACGGCTGTTTCTGGATTGGATGGCACATTCGCTTGACGTGATTATTGACCTTGTCAAACCTATCACAAAATTGCCGCCCATACAAAGGATAAATGGTGTTATAGGTGTTCATCCGAATTGCAGTCAGGGGACTCTAACTCGCCAGGCAGAGCTTACGAGTTGTTCTGTATTTCCATATCAAGGCTATAATGAACGATTCTGTGTAAATATCTATCAAAAATAAGCTCTAATCAATCACATCATTTACTCTAAATAGGGCGATCAAAGAGGACATGAAACGGCGGGAAATTCACAAGTAAAGATATAAGGACGCTAGCTAAGGCCCCTAGGCAGTGTAGTTAGTTAGCGAAGTCAAAAGCTGAAAATGTGGCTACGTTGTAGTTGGGAATTAAGAATGCAGCCCCTTATGCTTTCGGAATTAATTAAGCAATATCACTCCAGCCAGACTGTGCGGTTCATGTGAAGTCATTTAATAGCTCTATCAATCTAAATAGCATGGCTTTATTAGGCATTTTTGCTGTAAGTATACGAATTGCGTAGACTGTTTCGTTAAACAACCGTGGATAGTGAGTGTCACTGATGAGGGGTTAATTCGGGACCGGTGCTGCAGGCTTTATCACAAGAAACCGGCCTATGATACAGTCCGGAACCTCTGATCGTTGGGTGACTACATAGACTGATATGGATGTAGTATCGACTTAGCGGGCCTGCTATTCGTTCTTTCGACGTGCTCGGTCGCGTGACGATTAACACCATGCATGCTGCGCCCAGGGCCACGGAGTGTCGAAATTGGGTGGAAAATTATCCGCAAGGGAGCCGGAGAGCATTCTGGGTGCTAGCGATTTTGCAGACCGTTGTGCGAGCAGCGCGGAAGGTTTTCCGTGATAGGAGAACGCCAGAGGCAGATAATGGTATAGCAGTGTGGTTAACTCATCACCTTCAGGGGTGAGGGCTTTTCCACAGAAATGCAGCTTGTGTCTCAACTACCGATCCTGCTTGCAGAAGGACGCATCTAGAACTGGTGGAGACTGGTTCATGAGACCTGATTCGATTAGGTGGCATGAATAGATGCACGAACCTATATTCGTATTGACCACAACAGGATTGTAATCCTGATAGGTTCTAGCAATCTCATAGGAAATAGGTTGCATATTCTGAGCCACTGAACTATCGAACAGAAGAGCCGCAGATGCACGAGATAGAGACCGGATACTTCGATCTATCCGTTTTCGGCATCATGTTGCGAAATTATTGTGTAACGTACATTGAACTGCCGGACACGATGCGCGGCCTAGCATTACAAAGCAGGCTCTGGTGGTCCGACCCATCGTTGCACTCGAAGAGTGAAGCATTCTGTCTTTCAGATACCAGCGAGCTCTTGCAACACCGTATGCGCTGCAACATTACATGAACCACGGGAAGTATTCAAGGCCTCTTGAGCTCGGCGTAGCCTGAACCCAAAACTTGTCGTCGTTTGGAAGCAACCTCGGGTGTCTTCTTGTATTTCGCCTTGCCTACTGGAGTCGCTGATCTAATGTTTAAAAAAAAAAAGCGGTATTGTACCTAAGCCAAACTAGCGATCTCCATAGTTAGCCGGTAGGGCTACGTGGAGATTCTTGGCATATAGGGCACTAGTCCAAAGGAGACGGCGCAACTCGTTATGATTATAAAACTACCATTTTCAACTCGATCTGTCATGACCCAGGCATTAGGGGGGTGAAAAACATTCTAATACGCTACACAGAGGTGGTTGTTTCAAACTTTCAGAACACTTTCACCCTGATAGACCCCTATACTCCCGTAATGAAGCGGCCTAGGCCAACGTTACCTGAAAGTTACACGACGGCTGCGGTAAGGTGGCCGGGATATCCAGTACTGAGAGAACGGCTTAACACTGACAGGTAACGGGATCGCATAGATCGAGTAGGATCCTCTTGAAGATTTGGCCTAGTATATTAGACAACACAACGGCGGCCTTCAGGTTCCAGAAGCAATATTACCCAAACGGGTCCTTAATACGAATACAGGTAAACTTAGGATCCAGAATATAGCTATCAGCGTAATAATACAGTCCTATCAGAGACGCAAAAGCAAGAGTCGGCAGTGTCAGCCATGACATCTGCATCGAAAGGGACATACCAGCACGAAACCTATAGTAGGTTGTGTTAAAGACCCAAACGAGAAATTCGAAGACTAGCAGGCGCAGGGTGGATAAAAATGCGTGAAGGCTTGGGATGTAAGAGGTACGCTATATATAGAACAGCAGAGTTGGTTCTTGTTGATATAGGTAGAATATCCAGGGGTAGCATTCTATATGCTATCTATAGTACTCGGTTCGGCTAACGCCTCTTCTTCATCAAAAAGGTTCAGATAGGGGAACTTGTAGTGGAAGGGGGTTAAGGTTTCGGTTCTATCAGCATAGAGCGGTAAGTTGGGGCGTTAAGTCGACGCCGGTGATACTGAGATGGCGAAGACTATGCCTATTTCATGCGCCGGAGCCTAGGCATACGAAATGGATTGCATTAGATATCTAGAAAACGCATGGGACAATGACATTTATTGACAGTAGACCACTAGTACGGACCCGCGTTAGTGAAGGCCCCTAACTTTAATATTCTATTGTAGGGATATGCATCTTTTAATAGTTTATCCCGACCTCATTCCCCGAATCGGGATAAAAATGGTGATAGCAAATCTGACAGCGGCTTGTAGAATGTATGGGGCAAAATGCACTCTGATATTCGGGATCGGGGTTAGGGACCAGGATCAATATATTTCAAACATATACGTACAGACTATAAAACCTCGGCGCCGCGCAATGATGAACAGTAATTTGTTTTCAGAATACAATGTCATAACTCCACATGCGTTTTCCGGCAACAATACAACATCTTAATACATCCTATCCCCATGGCAACGTTCCCTGTATGACCCAAGCTGGTGATACGGAGCTCTTCCCGAGAGCATCGACTCTGGTTAACCTATGTGCGCCTAAACCATAAACAAAAATAAGAACAAAATAAAATAAGCATAATAACTCCATCGATCGGGATCACCCTACAGCTTGCGCCTCACAAGCCAAGACGCCGGCTAACGTAGCTATCATATCTCATGGACTCATGAACTTGGAAAAAAAGAAGCCGCTTTGCCTTCAACCTGGTAGTTCTTCTCCTTACCCCTTATCTTGCCGTTTCCTCGTCTTTCCCCTACGCGGTGGTTCAACGTTGACAACGATCATAGGAGGTCTGGCCCCTCCCGGGTGTGGCGGGGGTGGGAATATGTTTCCGCCAACCCCGCCTCGTCCCCCAAACATACCAGCGCCAGCGCCAGCTCCTCTTCCCCGCCCGCGGGCACCGCGGCCTCTACCAACTGGGTAGCCGGCGGGCCCCGGGGGAAAATGATGATGTGACTGTGGCGGCGA